AGTTCTAACAGCAGAGAAATATTAAAGGGCCAGTTGACCAGTCACTGGGGATCCTTAAAGGCCAGGTGCAAAAGATAAAACACACTATATTTCCCCACTTGTTTTAGCCGCTAATTGTGCAGTTTTGAGGCCTCTGTGGGCACTTCACATAGCCATGCTACTGTTGTGATTTTTGCTTCTCCATTCTTTACAATGTCTTTTCCAGGGTTCTCATGTGTCTGATGTGATCTTTCTGTTGATCTTCAAGGAGCACATCCACAACTGAGACAAGAATCTGACAGTGATACTTCTCTCTCCTGTTTCTTGGACACCGCTTCCCGAACCTTTTATACTCCTGGACTATTTTATCTGCTAGGAGCTGGTGTTCTGGAGTTAACTCCCTGAAGTCTCTGAATCCCCCCCCACCCCCAGCCCTGTGAACCTTCAGCTTGTAGCTCCAATTTGAGCATACAGGATGCTGAATTCAGTATAGTCTGTCTTGAAGTCCTGCCCATAGGCCTGTTGTTGCTCTGCATTGGGGATGGCTCTGTATTGCAGGAGACCAAAGTCCTGCTCACAGGCCTGTCAGTGGTTAGGTGTGACTGTTGCTTGATCAGGCTTTTCTGGCTGGCAGGGGCAGGCAGTGGCTGGTCTGTGGTTTTCAGAAGACCTCCCCTGCTCAACTCTGAGCCTTCTTAGTTTTGATGGTGTCCAAAGCTTTTTATTTCCTGCGGAAGTGTAAGCAAATCTCTGTCCCCAACACAAAATCTTTTCTGATTTCCATTCTGATGTTAACACATCCTTATAGTATATAGACTAATGTAATTCCACTGTTTTTCTATAATCCACTGTGTCTCAGCTTCTGTTGTTCCTTTCTCATTGGCATTTAGAAAGTTTAAAGGTAACAGAGCACTATTTTGTCTATTCCTGGTGGGTCTTTATTCTTCCTTTTTATTTTATAAGCATTTCTTTTAAGGTGTGATTATATCTTTATACAACTGCATGCCTGTAGGATGTGCTCCATATTATAATATGCAAAGAATTGTTTTATCTTACTGGAGACATATGCCAGGCAATGTCAATCTTAATTTACAAATATTCCCATAAGAGCCATTACGTTCAGTAAATGTGTAACTCACAATCAGCTTTCAGAACTCAAAGCAGTTGCCCACTGAAACCTTGAGTATGTACCAATGGTATGGTGCAACCTTTAGTTTTGCAATTTTTGCAAAATGAAACACATCTCTCTGCCAGATTTTACTTCTTTTGGTACTGCTAGGGTTTCTTCTGGTGTTTGTTTATACAAAGAACAAGTAGAACATTTTCTGCTAAAATCCTTGACTTGTTGCCAGGGTATAGAAAAAAAAATTCTTTGTACTTACCTGTTAGCTTGGTGTTTTTCATAAAAATTTGAGGCCTCTAACATACTTCCTGTTAATATTTGGTCAGTTTCTTTATTTCCTTGTGCTCTTGGCAAGCCTGTGTGAGACTGGATATGGGTGGTAGAGAACGGACCGTTTCTGACTGTCTGTTGTAGTTACATAAATGACGAGGTTAATTCTGAATTATCTGTGATGTAGTCACTAGTTTCCATATGCAGAACGACTCCTTCTTCATATTGCGAGTCAGCAATTATATCAGGAGATTCCGGAAAATCTAATAACAGCACAAGACTGCTATACAACAACTCTCAGACATGCCTTTGCCTCTGCCTCCCAAGTGCTGGCATTGAAGTCACTATGCCTAACACTCTTATTATTAAAAAAAATTGTTCTTATTCATGTATGTATGTGTATGCCACCATGTTCAGGGCATATGGAGGTCAGAGATGGGTGTCAGGTCTTTTGGAACTGGAGTTACAGGGAGAGCAGCAAGCATTTTTAACCACGAGCTCCCTCTAGCCCTCCACTGCCCCCTTTTCTATCCTTCCCTCTTCCAGCCCTTGTCAGCTCAAATAGTCCTCTTCTCCTTTCATGTGTGTATACTCATTAGTTTAATTAAGGCAACTTTACAGTGGCTTCAACACTGAAGGGAATCTCTCTCCCACAGCAACTGTTTTTTTTTTTTTTTTAAATGTGCATTAGTATGAAGGTGTCAGATCCCTTGTAATTGGGGATATAGACAGTTCTGAGCTGCTATGTGGGTGCTGGGAATTGAACTCGCGTCCTTTAGAAGAGCAGACAGTGCTCTTCTCAACCACTGAGCCATCTCTCCAGCCCCCACAGCGACTGTTAACAGCTTGTATATCCAAAGAGGGGAAAGGTCTTCTGAGCCGCTCTCCAGCGACTACCTTTAGGTTTGCTTTTTGTGCTTCCTCTTTTTTTTTTTTATATATATATATATATATAGACAGATCTTACAAGTGGTCGGCCTGGAGCTTGTTTCATAGGCCACCAACTCACAGTTCTCCACGTGGTGAGCCACCGGCTCTGGGTTACAGACATGCAGGCTTGGGTCTTTGTTTCCCTTGGACATTTGATGTATGTTACAGCTTAATTTTTTTAGTGCGTGTAAAGGTTAAAGGGAAGGTAAAAAACCTTTGCCTTTCACACAACACAAAGTTCTTATGGAATGAAAGAAGGGATTCCTTTTTTTTTTTTTTTTTTTTTTTTTTACCTTTTCACCCTTTTATTGCACTCAGAATAATGTTTGATTTCTCTTAGTATATTCCCATCCTTCATTCTCTAAGAAAAGTGAGAAATCTACTTTTTCAGCAAAAAAAAAATCTTACTGCTTAAATATCAATACCAGTACCCTTTGAGCTAAAAAAATTCTATTTTTGATTGATAGGTAAACTCGAAAAGCTTCCTCCAACTTCTTGGCTTTTTCTTGCATACAATTACAAGGAAATCTCTCCCTAGCTCTTCTTAGTTTGTTTTTGCTTGAGGCGGGAATTTAAGTTTGTTTTGTTGTTGTTGTTATTATTATTATTATTATTATTATTATTATTATTATTATTATTATTATTATAGTTTTTGGTGTTTGGTGTTTGGAGACAGGGGACATGGTTTCTCTGTATAGCCCCTGCTGTCCTGCAACTTTCTCTGTACATCAAACTAAGCAATCTGCCTGTCTTTGCCTCTCAATGCTGAGCTGAAAGGCATGTGCCACCTGCATTTTTTTATATATACTGTGTCAGTTTCATACATGTACAGGAAGCATTTTGGGTACTCTCATTCACATTATGGTCTGTCATCCTCCCCCTCTTTTGGACCCCTTCACCCATCCTAGTCCTCTCTCTCCTGTTTCTTTCTCCCTCTGCTGCCACTCTTTCTCTGTCTCTCTCTCTGTTTGTTTATACACTAGATTTTTCCACTCCAGGTTAAAAGCAAAACCTCTCCAAGAGCAATATTTCTGTTTATTTATGTAGCTACTGACAATTTCAAAAGAAAAGAATTGCAAAGACTTTCTGTCGCACACTGGCAGTTCATGTATACATTAATCTTTGTGACATTGGGGAACACCACAAGAATGTAAGGAATTAAATTACAAAATTCTAACGGGAGCAGACCAATAGAGGGACTTTCAAAGAGTTTATAATATTTTATGGGACTGAAATGATCCCTTTTTATTTCTGAGAAACCAGAATCCCAAACACTTTCATTGAGGGCAACTGGTTACAATCACATTAATTAAAACTTCAGGGAGATGGCTGGGTGGGTAAAGTGGAAGTCGGGCCAGGACCTCTTTCTCTTCCTCTGCGGCAGACAGAACAACGTCTTCTAAAGGCGAGAGGACTGAGGACCTGAGCACTGGTGAGGAGCACGGCCGTCACCATCTTCCCCAGAGCAGCTGTGACGACAGCAGGGGCCTCCACACGGCCCAGCCTGTAGACTTTCTTGTGCGGGAGGACTCGGGAGGGTCATTAGAGCCTCACCTGGGAGTCCAGCTGCCCCCGTCGCCAACCTTGTCCAGCTGTCTGCAGTTCTTCTCCAGATGCATGTGGTGTCTGGAGGTGCTGGGGCACAGAGAAGGTGAACACTCCTAACAGGAGAGTTTCTGCAGCTTCAGGGAAGGGGTGTTGACGTGGTTGGCTGGAGACAACCTCTTAATGGTGCTCCTATAAGTAATCCCAACAAACCCATCTGTTCACCGATGCAGACATAGGTAGAAGTGTTCTCTTTGCTGCCGTTACGCTGTGTAGGGCAAGCAGACATTCGCTCATGCCTTCCCAGCAAGTTCCTTTTTGCACTTTTCTGGACAACTTCTGACTTTAGACTCCCTGATGGACCCCTCCTGCTCACACTCCTTCTAGAATGTTCTCCCTGCAGTTGGTGTTACCAAATACCCCTCAGGAGTGGGAGAAGGAAGAATGAGAGCTTCCTTTGGGTCATTCTCCAAGATTAAAGCATTAACCAATGCAAACATAGGGAGAAGCAGTAATGAAGCCAACAAGAGACAATGAAAGTACTTACCAAAACCAGAAAGACTAACTTCACGGTCAGAACCCTGTAGCCCTTGGAACACCCCATTAATGGAGCCTGGATCCTCGCAGCCTAGAATCTTGTTGAGTTATAGAAACAAATCCAGGTCGCTCACACGGACTCATAAGTTTACCAAGCCCTTCCAGCATAAAGGAGCTGATTCACTGTGTTGACTTCCAGTTTCTGTGAACACTGTCACCTGACATATGTACACAGTGTCCAGTGGAGGAATATTGTAACATCTGAACCTTTGACCCTTGGTCCCTAAGTTCAGCTGGCTCATGGTTAATTCCTTTTTTTTTTTTAAATACTTTTTACAATTTATTCATTTTATATCCCAATTGTAGCTCCCTCCCTCGTCTCCTTCTGGTCCCACCCTTTCTTCCTCTTCCCCCATCCCTTTCCCTATTCCACTGAAAGGGGTGTCCTCATCCCCTGCCAACTGACCCTGGCTTATCAAGTCTCATCAGGATTGCCTGGATCCTCATCCTCTGTGGCCTGGCAAAGCCATTCACCAGGGGCAAGTGACCAAAGAGCAGCCAACCAAGTTCATGTCAGAGACAGCCTCTGCTTCCCTAACTCGGGGAGCCACATGGAGACTGAGCTGCCTATGAGCAACATCTGTGCAGGGGGCCTAGGCCCTCTCCATGCATGGCCCTTGGTTGGTGCATCAGTCAGAGTTAATTTCTTACTTCCTTATCAGTTATTTATTCTTTCTTCTGCCTATTCACCTACTGGAATTATTTACCAACAAGGTATAAAAACTTACACAGGTCATAATTCTTCACAATGATCTGTAACTTCTTTTTTTTTTTTTTAATGAGAGATCTCTTGTTTTTTAAGTTTATTTATTTATTCACTCTACATCCTGAGTGCAGCCCCCTCTCTCTTCTCCTCCAGGTCCCCCTCTCTCCCTCCTCTCTCTTCCACTCTCCCTCCCCCCAAAAGAGGGGAGTCCTCCTCCCCCTGTATCAGCCCTCTCCAGCACATCAAGTCACATCAGGACTGAGCACATCCTCATCCCCTGAGGCCAGCCAGGGGGAAGTGATCCAAAATTAGACAACAGAGTCCATTTTAACACCACCGTCCACTCATCAGGTGATCCACATGAAGCCCAAGCGCCCCATCAGCCACATATGTGCAGGAGTTCTAGGTTCAGACCATGCATGCTCCTTAGTTGGTGCCTCAGTCTCTGTAAGCCACTGTGGGGCTGGGTTAGTTTTCTATGTTGGTCTTCTTGTGGGGTTCCTGTACCCTCCAGGTCCTTCCATCTTTCCCCCACACTTCCACAAGACCCCTGGAGCTCCCCTCCATGCTTGGCTGTGAGTCCTAGCATCTGTCTTGATCCACTGCTGGGTGGAGCCTCTCAGATGACAGTCCTGTCTGCCAGCAGAGCAGAGCATCATTAACAGTGTTGGGGGTGGCTGTCTATGGTCGGGGAGGTCTCAGGTTGGGCCAGTCATTGGCTGAAAATTCTCTCAATCTCTGCTGCCTCTTTTGTTCTAGTATAAGAACAGCCACAGAAACCACTCAGACTCTGGTCTCAGATACATAAGGATGGTTTATTGGAACATCTTTTCCAAGCTGATTGATCAGGGCCACAGTAAGATCTTGGCAGCCTAACCATGACATCTACAAGTTTTCCCAGCAGGATGTTTATAGAAAGAACCAAATGCAAAAGACATGGGGAGGGCAGTAACACATTTTGGCTAACCATATAAAGCAATATTACATTTCTGGCTAACTAGACTGTTGGTATAGTGTTCTTGTGGAATGTGTACAATTTACCCTTGCTCATTCAAATGCTGATTTCTCCACCCCACCAGCTTGTTTCAATTTGGACATTGCATTGTGATGGTCTCAAGTTTGTGTAAACATACTATACTACCATTTGTTCTCTGTATTGCCAATAGAACAATCAGCCAAAACTGAGGAAAGGAGAGACTAGGGTGGGGCATCCTGGTCTGGAGGGGAGGAGAAAGAAGTGAGTGGGAGGAGGGTTCAGAGAAGAGAGATTTGAGAGGAGAGAACCTGTAAACACCAGGAGAGATGAACCGGACCTAAGATATGACTAAAAAGCAACTATAATGTGGGAAATCTGAATGGGAGGAAGCTATGTGGGCTTGGTGGTTTAGGATGGAGTAATTATTGCCTAGCATTGTGCTCTAATTTAGTAAATCCTAGTCTCTGTTTAACTAAAAGATAAATCAATATTAAATATTAATAATCAACAACACTAGACAAACTATTATCAGCTAATAAAATGCCTGCACTTCTTATAGTCAGCGTAAGTTTTGGGTCGAAGGTTTTGTGGGTTGGTTGTTGTTCTCCTCCCTCCACTAGGAGTCCTGCCTGGCTAGGAGGTGGTCACTTCAGAGGAGTGTGACCTGTAGCAGGGCTCCAGCTGGTCAAAGAGGTGCTCCCCTCAGTTTCCCTCCCCTCTCCCAGCACTCCCACATCCCATCCCCATCCTCCCTCCAACTGATTCCCAGCCTCCCTTTCCTAGCTTTCCATCTCCTACCCAGTTCCCTTTCTTCCTCCACTTTTGATGTCTATTCTATTTCTCCTCCTGAGTGACATTTAGGCAGCATCTCTGGGCCCTCCTTGTTAATTATCTTCTTTGTGTCTGTGGATTGTATTAGGGTTTTCCTGTACTGTATGTCTAATATCTGCTAATAAGTGAGTGCATACCATGTGTGTCTTTCTGGGTCTGGGACCTCACTCAAGATCTTTTCTAGTTCCATCTATTTGACTAAAAAAAATGTCATGATTTCCTTATTTTTAATAGCTGCGTAATATTCCATTGTATAAATGTACCACATTAAAAAAATCCATTCTTCAGTAGAGGGACGTCTAAGTTGTTTCAGTTTATGGCTGTTAAAAATAACATTGCAGTGAACATCATTGAGCAAATGTCCTTGTTATACAGTAGGACATCTTTTGAGTGTATGCTCAGGAGTGGCATAGCTGGGTCTTGAGGTAGCACTGTGTTGTCACTTGAGTTTTTGATCTTAGCTGTTCTGACTGGTGTAAGACAGAATCTCAGATTTGTTTTGATTTGCAGTTTTCTCATGACTAAGGATGTTGAGCATTTCTTTAGTGCTTCTCAGCCATTAGAGATCCTTATGTTGTGAGTTCTCAGGTTAGCTCTGTACCCCATTTTTAAATTGGATTATTGGATTTGTTGGTGTTTAATTTCTTGAGTTCTTTATATATTCTGGATATTAACCCTCTGTCTGATGTAGGGTTGGTGAAGATCTTTTCTAAATCTGTAGGCTGTCATTTTTGTTCTATTGATAGTGTCAGTTGTTTTACAGAAGCTCTTCAGCTTCATGAGGTCCCATTTTTTAAGTTGTTGATCTCAGAGCCTGGCTGTTGGTGTTCTGTTCATGAAGTTGTCTCCTCTGCCAATGAGTTTCAGACTTTTGCTGGTTTTATGCCAGTATTGTTATTCCACTTCAACTTGAGTTTTGTACAGAGTAATAAATACAGATCTATTAGCATTTTTCTTTTGTCTTTTTTATTAATTAATTAATTAGTTAATTAATTAATTCAGTTTACATCTTGGGCATAGACCCCTTATTGCCCAGCATTGTGTTCTAGGTTAACTAAATAAACCCAGTCTCTGTGTGGTGATTTGGTTATTCAGCTGTTTAGGATTAACAGCAGCTTTACTAGAAGATAAATCACTAGTAAATATTAATCATCTCATACACAAATGGCATCCAACTAATCTAAGAATCCACACTCTTTAAATCATACTTTATCACAATTTGGAGGGGGGAATAAGCTCCCAGTGATACAAACCAAACTTAAAACCTAAAAACTTCCAGGTCAATCACTATCTGTTTAAGAGAGACTCTTAAACCTGCCCAGAAGCAAAAGCCTCCCGTGGGCAGACCTGAGACTTAACAAAACTGGCTGCTGCTTCATTTTAACTGAGGGGTACACAAGCATGGCTCCTTTATACTGTGGCTGGCTCAACTGGCTCAGCAACACAGCCATGACAGGAAAGAAAGGAACTGGAGGTAGACAGACCTCTAGACAGAGTTTGGCCTAAACTGCATCTAAAATAAAAAATTGCCATGGCAGAGGGAGTTTTAATCCCTTTTGGCTTCATTTTAGCTGTCATAGTCATGGATCTGGTTGCAATATGTTTAATGGTGTTGGTTCTTCTCCATACCTTCTCCAAGAAAGTTGAAGGAGAAAATAGGGAAAAAAACAAGGATTGGAATACTAAGTTACAGACAAGAAAAAGGGCACTCTCCCTAATAATTAGATCAATAATGGCTAAAATTCAAAGCTCTCTGGCTGCAAGATACTTGTCAGCTCTTTCTGGTAAGGGTCCACCAATTCACAGAAACATCAACTAAAATAACCAACTGGGTTTTGTTTGTTACACTATAAATTGGCCCAACTGATTCCAAACTTAAAATTTTCTTCTCTCTTTGTTTGATTTTCATTTAAAGGCTTTGAGTTACATCAATGATAATTTGAGAAAAAAAATATTTAAACAAGTTGGTGAAGGCACATGCCTTTATTACCAACACAAAGTTAAAAGAAACAGGTAGATATCTGAGTTCAGGGTCAAGCTCATTTACATAATAAAAGCCAGGATGGTAACTCCTGCTGTTTAGCCACTTACAGAGATAGTCTAAGATTCAAAATGACAAAATTTTCTTTAAGGTTACCATGTAAATTCTTTTTTTTAAAAAATAATAGATGTCATGTCCTTACTGATCTGAAGGTTGGGTTCACATTATTTTTAGGTTTATGTAAAGACAGATAATGTCACACTGCTCTGGAAACTGCCTGTAAATGTGAGACATTTTCACAGGGGAAAAATGTTGGTCATGCCTATGTAAAAAAAAAAAAACCACACAAGATGGCAAAGTACATGCCAACCTAGTTTAGTCCTAAAAACTCAAAAATTATATTCATATGTTTAAAAAACAAAACTGTCCTTCTCATATCAAAAAGGGAGCAATCCAAAGATAGCCAAACCAATGTAAAAATCCAGGTACAAGATGCCTAGGATATACTTAAATGCTAAAGGTAAGAGAGTTTATATAAAGTTTGCTACAAAGGCATAACTGCCCAGTCTGTATAAAAAAGGGATAAGCCGAAAAATAGCCACTATCAATGTAAAGCCCAGGTACAAGATGCCTAGGGTATGCCTAAATGTGAAAGGTAAGAAGGAGTTTAAATAAAGTTTGGCTCTAAAG